GAGCCCCCTGTGGGCAGGGACCCTGTCTTTCTGGGTGGACGTGATTTCTAGCTCCTAGCACCATGCCTGACATAGTGAGTGCTCAGTATGTAGCTGCGGTCAGTCACTCCCTATTCCAGCCCAGGCTTACTGAGCATCTGTTGAGCTCTCAAGTCCTGTATAGGGCTTCTGGTGTTGGCCCCAGGGAGGCTGTAGTCAGCGTACCTCCCAGAGCTGTAAGCAGAGCTCCATGATGCCATGCAGGTGAAGGTCTCTGGCCACAGGAGGGCTTGCTCCAGGGGGACCCCCTTGTCACCCCCTGTGAAGCTCACAGTGCAGAGGATAGTCCGACTCTCATTAGCAAGCAGACTGGCTTCAGTTTGCACCTCCCAAGCTTAACTGTTGGAAATTGTAACAGTACTAGCTGGTCAGGGCTGTTTCTGAGGTTGATGCAGGTGCTCTGCATGAGTTGTGAGCCCACCATAGGCAGGACTGTGGGTCGAGCATTTCCTATACAGTTTCTCACCTTCAATGAGCCTGAAAGGACGTGGATTTTAATGGCAGGTTTTTATGAAACAGGCGAGGAAACACTTTCAAAGACCCTAAAACTCAGCAGCTGACCGCAGGGCTGGGATTCACACTTGGCTTTATTTAGTCCCCAAGCCCCACCTCATCCCTGCATCTCCTGAATGAGGTGTCAGTGAGCGCGAGGGGAGATTGTGCTCAGGGATTCCAGATCAGCCGAGCTGTGCCGTCCCAGCTCCCGTTGGGTAGAAACTTAAATGAAGCCCAAACAGAGTCTGTCAGCAGGAGGACAGCGGCCACTTTCTTGGAGAACCAATATTGATGTATCTTCCCAGGCTAGGCAGGCCCCTGACCTCGGGGCATCACAGAGAAATAACATGAAGGCACAGCTAGAGGGATCCCTGCCTCTCCCTTCCGTCAGAAAAAGATGAAGTCAACACCTCTTTAGTGCCATTGGTGTTGAAGAAGCCTGAGGGAGAGAGAAAGTGAGGCTGGCGAAGGTGGGGAGAGGGCTACCGACCTGATTCTAGCCTCGGAGAAATGCTTCATCACCCCCGCAGCCAGCGCGGCTGCTCGGGCTCGCTCTCAGAGGTGCGATAGCAACCTGCTGACTCGGGCCCTCGCTAAAATTAACAACGTGACTGGCGCTGCTGCAAGAGATGGAAAGAAAGAGAAAAGACGCACAGAGGCCAGGAGACCGAGCAGCACAGAGAGGGGGCAACAAGCACCGCACTTGGAGACGTGCTCTGCGGCCCCCACCACAACTGTGCCGGGGACTTCCGAACCTGGCTTCTGTCTCGCTGTCTCGTGCCCCATCCACCAGGCTCTGCCAACCCAGGACACCTCAAGCTTTCCGATTACTGAGCGCCCCACTGTGCATCCCATACCTAGGGGACGCTGGTGTACAAAGATGCTCCTTTGGAGTTGGGTACGAAATAGAGGCCCCCTGCTTCCCTGAAATACCTGGTAGGGAGGGTCAAGAAGGAAATGACATATTTGGTCCTGCCCAGGAAGCAGAGAAGACAGAGAGACACTCAGCTAAGGGAATGCGGGGAGGGCCATATTTTCTTGTGGGGCTGGCTACTCTGTCGAATTCCTTGTCACGAGGCTTTAGAGTCATGTCTGCGAAGTATCTCCCTCAGCATTTGGCAAGCCCAGGGTCAAGATACTGAGGATCAGGGAAACCTGGAAGGTGCTGATCCCCTAGCCTGGAGGGATGTCTGTTGCAAAGTCTGCAATATTCCTGCAACATACTCTCACAGGAAAAATTAGAAAAAATGTTAACCAACGTGTTATTGAGGTGACATGCGTAAAAAGAGCACATGCATCACAAACTGCACATCTGTGCCACCTGGATAAATAGAACATTAGCAACATTTCAGGAGCCCCCTCCTGCCCCTTCCAGTCACTCTCCGACCCTCCCTGCCCACTCAGCATAACCTTGCCCTCATGTCTAACAGTGTAGGTGAGTTTGACCTGCTTATGAATTTAATATAAACAATATCACACTCACTCCCTTGTGCCTGTCTTCTCTCACTCAAAATTTTGTGTGTGAGACATACTCATATGTTGTGTGCAGTTGTAGGTCATCCTTCTTGCTCTGTAGTATTCCATGGGGTGCACGTTTTTAAAAGCCATCTACTGTTTGTTGATGAGCGTTCAAGGAGTTCCCGGTGGTGGGCTGTTATGAGTAGGGAGTGGCGCTGTGATCATGCTAAGGCATAGCTTTTGGTGAACATTTCTGTGAGTTCATACCCAGCAACGGCCCTGCTTGGTCATAGGGCATGCATGTGGTCAGCTTCAGTGGACAACGCAGAACACTTTCTCAAGGCGGTTGTTTTATCTTTCTTCAGAATATCTGTCCATCTGCTTGCATGAGGATTCCAGTTCCACATCAAAAACAGTTTTGGTATTGTCTCTCTTTTTTATTTGGCCAATCCATTAAAGAAAGAACAAATGACCTGAAAGGAGTCACAAACGACCGCAATGGAAAATGCTCCCCGAGAGAGGGTCCCTTCGGTGATACGTCGTGTGCAGCACGCTGCACCCTGCGTTCTGGCAGGGGGAGCCCGTGGCGGGCCACGTCCTGGCCTGAGCCTCGGCGCTCGCTGCCTGGCCTCGGTCGGGGCCCGCCGCTTTGCTGCAGTAATACCCAACAGAGCATGGCATAATTCTTCCGCAGGTGACAGAGCTGTAAGGTACCCGACCCCGACAAAACAAACTTGGCCTCAGACTTGCCCAGGGGCCTCAGTCAATATTTAACAGATTGCGTCCCCCGTTCTCTCTGCTGCCATTAACTGGGGCCAGCGGAATAAGTCACTGCTCCTTTTCCCGCTGTAAGCAGCTCCTGGCTGCTGAGTGAGCTCCAGGCCTGGCGTTCCGTAGCCAGGCTGCCCCGGCACGGCGGTTCCTGGTGTTTGGGGCTGCGGATGGCTACCCGAGCTCCCGTCTGTGCCCGGCAGCAGGCCCAGGGCTTTGTATTGATTATTTCACAGAACCTCACTGCAGTGTTGTGAGTAGATGTGATTTGCTCCCATTCTACGGATGAGGAAGCCAAACACATTCCCCCAGAGGAACATGGCTAATGAATCTGATTGTTTGACTTCAAACTTTAATGTTGGTACCTTGAGGTTGGTACAAACCCATATTTTGTACCTTTCTCTGAGAGCTGATGTTTAAACATTTAAGTTTCCTTTTGAACTCATTGTCTCTTGGGCCTAAGAGCTATGTGAGGTGGGTTTACGTGGGACGAGGGGAGCCTACCCTGTGACCCCCTGCTCACGGAAGAATGATTAAAATGCAGGATGGGTGCCCTCTGGGATGGTTGCTGTGAGCAGTGGGCCCCCAAAGATGTCCATGCCTTAGTCCTCAGACTCTGAAAATAGGTTTTCTTACGTGTTAAAAGGGACTTTGCAGCCATGATTCAGGTTCATGACCCTCGGGGAGAGAGATTATTTTGGGTCACCTTGGGTGGGCCCAAGGTGATCACATGGGTCCTTAGAGGTGGAAGTAGGAGGCAGAAAGTTACCAATGGGAGGATGGAAGTCAGTTGGAGAGATGCTGTGCTGCTGTGTTTGAAGGTGGAGGAAGAGAGGCCCATGCTGAGGCATCTCAGAGCAGCCAATGGGAGCTGGAAAAGACAATGGAATGGGTTCTCTTGGACCCTCCAGAGGGAATGGGCCGACTGACACCTTGATTCTAGCTTGGTGAGACCCGGCCTGGCCTTCTGACCTGCAGAACTGTAGGTTCATACATTTGTGGTATTTTATACCACCAAGTATTTGAAAATTCATTATTGCAGCAAATTGTTATTGACGACGGTATCATGGTTGACTCATGGGCTTTGGGGCTAGAGCGCCTGATTTCCAATTCTGTTCTATGATTTTCTAGCTGCGTGAGCTTGGGCAACGTGTTTACTTTGCCTGGGTCTCCTGTTCCTCCTCTCTAAAATTGGGATAAGGATAGTCTGCAATACACAGGGGTGTTGTGAGGATTAAGTGAGGATTCCGTGCGTGGGAAATGCCCGGTCGTAAGTTTTAGGTGCAGAGTTTGGGGCAGGCATCCCTCACTAGTAACGAGGCAGGTGGATCCAGGCGCAGGCTTGGGAGACCAATTGGCTCAGATTCAGACTCCACTTCTACGGAGCAAGGGAGTTAGTTGTCTGTGCCTCTGTTTCCTCATCTGGAAAACTGGGGCAGGGCTTCCAGGGTGGCTCGGGGTTCGTATCAGATGGTGGCCAGAGCTTTCAGCAGAGTGAGCTACAGGCACTCCAAGAAGGGCAGTTATTGTTATCGGTGGGCGGCTGGTGATGACTGTTGGGCCTTCAGCCCCGTGCATTGTGGACCCATTTGTTCTTCACTGTAATAATTTTAGTATACTGGCTTGGGAAACAAAAGTATCCCCACAGAGCTGGAACCGTACCTCGTAGGCGCTCAGTCATTGCTAACCGAATGAATAAGAAAGGGAACGGGCCTCAGGCCTGCCCTGAAGAACCCTGCAGTACAGGACAAGGCTTGGAGCCACGCCAGCGCTTTGTGGCTGTCTTTAAAAAGAAACAAAACAAAGAGCGACTTCCTACCAGCTGACCCAGAACTCCCTCTACTCACTGTCTGGACCTCTCAGCCCTGCAGAGCTGTGCGGTAGGCCTGGCCAGGCTGTTAAGTCCCTAAGCCGCCTGAGCTTTCTGGAACTTTCTCTTCTCATCATTATAATGGACGTACCTCAGCCCCCTCTGTCCTCCCAGCGTAGTTCTGAGGAGCCCTGTGCAGTAGGAAGAGTCCTTTCTGACAGATCTGGTGACTGGGGGGGACAACACTGCTCTGAAGGTCCCCGGTCTCCTGCCTTGCCTCCTTTTGGGTATCCGAGCTATGGGACATCATTTTTAGAGAGCCTCCCTCTAGGTATATTAGGGACAAATATAAAGAAAGGAAAATAACCAACTACTGCCCTGGGTTCACGATTGTAACAAGATTGGTTTTTCTTCTTCTTGTCCCCAGGCCTGATCTTTTGACCAGAAAGGAATGAAAAGGATACCCTTCCTGATTGATGGCCACACCTGTCTGTTGCATGGAGCCTCATCCAAGGATTTTGAGCCATGTGGATTTACAGTGATATCCAGCTGCCCAGGGAATAACACTGGTGGAGGAAGCTTCCCTGGAATTATGCACACCTGGCACGTTTCTGGATGCTGAAAATGGTGTTAAGGAAGGCGCTGGCTGAGTGCATCATGGATTCCAGCAGCCTGGGTGCTGGAGGGAGATGGAGGACCAAAGCTTCCTACGCAGGCTGAGCCCTTATCTTGGACAGGAATGTTTGGTTGGGTCTTTCCAGGACCCTGTGGGGGCTCCCTAGGAAATGTAAGTCCTGCCCCACGTCTCAAGCGCACACATCTTGGGCTTGCCTGTCAAGCACTCACCTGGGCTTTATAGGTGACTCTGTCCTGGCTGGTGGTTACTTGATGTGGCTGGCCCTCAGAAGGAGCTGGCATTTAATGAGCTCATCCTGTGCGTCTGGCTTGGTGCTAGCCCTCGTGGGAGACAGATGGAAAAGAAATGTGCTTCCTGGGAACCACCACTGCTTCCTTTGTTGACATGCTTCCTTTGGGTCATCTGGTTTTTGTGTCTGTCTCTGTCTAGCAGGCTGGAAGTGCCTTGAAGGCCAAGGCCTGTTCCGCATGGCTCTGTGTCTCTAAGACATAGCCTAGTGCCTGTTGCTACAGAAAGGGTGAACTGAGCCATGATTATTAATGAAGTGAGACACTGGAGAGTAAACAGTGTTAGGGGGCAATTCCTTGGCTTTGTGCTTAGAGTCAGAAGCAAAGAGTTGGATGTCAGCAGCATGGCTCTGAAGCCTAAGGACCTGGGTTTGAGTCTCTAACTTGTACTCACTGTGTGACGCTGGGCAAGTGACTGCTGGACTCCTCACCCTATTCCGTAAGAGTGCAATAATGTCATACTTCACAGGATTGGTGTTGAGGATGGCAGCATCGGGGACGCCCTGCTGACCGCCAGCATCGGGCCTGGCACTCAGCAGGCACTGGGCACGTGTTGGGGCTCGCTGTTGGCTTGGGGAAAAGCTTCCTGGGAGGGTAGGTGTTGCTTGGGCCTATAAAGCCTTTCTGAGCAGAGCCAGGGGGGCCGTGCTAGACTTTGAACTGGGCACTGCCAGTTGGCATGGACAGTTGCTCAAAGGCCACAGTCCTTGGAGCCCGTGGGAAGGCTGACTGGCAGCTCAGTAGCAGGTGAGGGAGGGAACAGCTGGACGTGAACTTGGCAACAAAGGCTTGCAGCATGGTTCTGCTGTTGACAAGCAGGAGGACTGGCCGCCCCTGTGTCCTGACTTGGCAGCTGCAGGGTTGGTGGCTCCCAGGGATGTTGCCTTAGTGTTGGGCTAGCCGCAGGAGAGTGGCTACTCAAACAACCCGTGTCCAAGGGCTCAGGTCGTCTGGGGCCACCTGGCACTGGGCTGCCAAGACTGCACTTGGGGCGGGGCCTGGAGTTTGATTTTGATTGGATCCCCAGGTCCCCTCATGCTGGTGGCACTGCTCAGAGGGACTTTCTCTGACTCCCTAATGGAAATAGTGGCCCTCTGGTTATCCCACCTGTTCAGTTCAGAGCTCCTGGATGTGCTGGGATCGCACACTCACTGATGCAAGGTATTTGATTTCTTGTCTTTCCCCTACACTCAAAAATCTTCTCTCTGAGGTCAGAAAACATGTTTACCTGGCTCACAGGCTAAGCACACAGTAGGCATCTTATTTATTGCATCATAGTTAACTAGTCTTTGTGGTTTCCTTTCAGTGGCTTCCCTGAAAAGGACAGACAAAAGGGAAACACTTTCCTTTGGAGCGTCTAGCAGTCCCACCAGGTGGACGATGGTGTGCCTGTTTTACAGTTGAGAACTTTGAGGCTTTGTGGGGGCTGTGTAACTTCTCCAAGGTTATTCATGCAAGAGAAGGCAGAGCAGAAAGCGAAGAAGGGCGCGTGTGTGTGAGCATGTGCTGAGCACTGCCAGCTGTGGGGTGCTCTTGGGGTCCTTAGAACTGGGTGCCCTCTTTTTTTGTCCTGGAGAGACGGACTTTTCATAAGACCTCAGTCCCCCACGGGGCGATGGGGGCAGGCACCATGCTGGGCCCGGGGATGCAGTGGGGTTCTACCACAGTCCAGCCCTGGAGGCTCCTGGTCTTCCGGGAGCCGGTGCCCTTGGGTGAGCGGTGATGCGCAGCCCAGCGTGATGGCTGCTGGGCTCATTGCTCTGTGGCCAAGCAGGGCAGGGAGAGGAGCCATGCAAGGAGGGCCGTTGCAGGTGTGGGGAGTCGTGGGAGGCTGGCGGGTTTAGCTGGGCTTGCAAGGGTGGGCGGGCCTGTCCTGGGGTCAGGAGCAGCTCCACTGGAAAAGCGAGTGGGGGACACTGAGGCCCAGCACTGCCCCTCCGCCTCTGCCTTTGCAGGGCTCTGGCACCCCTTCTTGCCAGCTCCCCCTCCCTCTCGCTGCGACTGCTGCACCCTCACTTATCACATGGCCCGCAGCCCTGGATTTTCTCCTGTTATCGGTCCCTCCCTAGAACAACCCCCTTGTGGTGGTCCTGGTTATCTCCTGCTCCTCCCAGGAGGGCCAGGGTGGGCTTGGGCACCAGAAGACACACAGTGGTCACAGCAAGAAACGGGACTCCCACTCCCCCTCCTTTCTGCCTGCTCTGAGCACCTGCCCCGCGTCTGCGCGGGCGCCCCTTCTGGACAGTGATGGAGCAGTAATCACGGTTTATTAGGCCGATCTCTATGCAGGTCAGTTGGCAGACATTATTCCATTCCACACCCAGAACAGACCGATGGGGCAGGCATGATTTTATAGTCTTTTTGGGGGTTGAAGTATCTGGAGCCCAGAGAGACAAAGCAGGTCTCTGGAGGGCACACAGGCAGGATTTGAAAACAATTCTTTCTGATTCTATAGCCACCGGGCAACCCTACCTGGAGCCTAGAGACTCAATCTCTACTGCCTTCTTGGCCCTGCCCAGGGGCTGTGTGACCCCAGGCAGACCACCTTTTTCTTCTGAACCTTTCTACTCTCATGGGTAGGAAAACTGTCTACTTTCTCTTCTCACTTGAGACACTTCTTGTAGGAGCACTGTGACGCTTAGTCTGGGACGCAGTTATGGGAGGGGTGCAGCCTTTGGAGCGCAGCCTCATCGCACGGCCTGAACACCTGGCTAAGCAGGAGTAGGAGGGTGAAGGCTGACAGATTGGAGCGTGCACCGCCTTCTCCACTCTCTCCAGGGATAAGCTTCGCAGCTCTCTGGATCGCTCTGAACCTGATTCTTCATACATAAAGGCCTGTGGGGCACATGCCCCTCACCAGGTTAGGTGGTTAACCTGGCACATTCTGGACATTCAGAAACACTGGCCATGAAGCAACTGCGTGGCTGTCATTGACGACCCCCTGTCTCCAGACTCAGCCTGGAGATTGAGTCACAGCCCTCCTCTTGTGGGGACCCTGTGCAAACCCTAGGGGGCCCAGGTACCCCTGTGGGAGCAAAACATACCAACATTTTGAAGCTTTGCCGTTTCGTAGCTGGGTGGCCTTGCGCCAGTTCCTAAACTACTCAGACCTGCGTGCACTTCATCTATGAAGTCAGGACCGTGATGCTGCTCAATCTCTACCTCTTCCCTTAGTGTGGCCAGCTACTATATGCTCTTTAAATGTCAGTTCCCCCTGGGGGGCCCTGTGGCCGCTGGTGCCTGCTGGTGGCTGCTGGTGGCTGCTGGCGGCTGCTGGCCTCTTCCCTCCCTCAGTCCAGGAGCCTGTGGCCCAGCTTTCTCATCTGTGAGGATTGCAGCCCCCTCCTCCTGGGTGAGTGCTGAGTGTCAGAAGGCTCGAGAAAACACTGGCCCATGGAATTCCAAAGTTAATGAAGGGAGCAGATTCCAGGAGGGTCTCTGCTTGACCTCCTACCCTTTTCCAACCCCCTTTTACCCCTGAGTGAGTTTGGAGGCAATTGAAGGTTTATAACAACTGCGCACAGAACCCTCTCGGTAGCGGGGCAGGACGGTGGCCTGGCCAGAGTGGGCAAGTGTGAGCCTCCCCACTAAGGTGCCTGTTTAACCAGAGAACGGCATGGGGAGCCCCCCGGGCCATCCTGGGAGAAGGGGAGAATATATGGACCACTTGGGGGATGATTCTCTGCTCCCCGAAGGAGGGGCAGAGTGAGGGCCTGGGTGGGAGGTTTGGAAGAACACCCAGTTGCCTTCAACCAACAAACAATTTTTTTTTCATTATTCTGACCTTAGGGCCCACGAGTCTGTTCCCTTAGGGGAGTGGAGTTGGGTAGAGAGACCAGGCTTTAGGTGACTGATGCACTTTCCAATGCACCCTCTGCCCTGGACTCACAGACCCTGCATGGCCGGCCTGTGTGAGTGCGCGTTTCTGTCTGCCTCGGTTGCTCTGGTTGCTCTCTCACCTGCCTTCTCCTGGGAAGTGGCTTATTTCCTGTGATGGGAGTTGGCAGGCTTTGTCTCCTTTCTTTGTCTTGTCAAAGTCATTCTGCAGGGCAGTTGCCAGGGGTAGGGGGCTTCCCCCTCCTCTATCTGCCACTATTGATGCCGCCCATCCTATGGGGGGGGGCTTTCTGGGGAGAGGGGCTCAGCTCCACTGATTACCAGGAACTGCCCTGACCTGACCCTCCCCCTGGAGGCTTATCTGGCTCTAACCAAAGAGCAGCTGCTGGTGGTGAGGTTTCTGAGTCACTTAGAAGTTCTGGACTGGGTTTAGCGGGAGGCGATGACATAAACAAATAAACATTGGCCAAGACCAGCTTCCAGCTTTCAGCTCACCTGGGGCTCTGGAAATTCTCCGTTGCATATTCAGAGGATGCTCATGTTCTTCATGAAAAAGTGTCTTCCTGTTGGAAAAAATGTGCCCAAGAGGTTGTTGGGGCATGTTAGAAAATCCAGGGCTATGAAAGTCCCAGAGCTTTCTGGCTGTGTGACCTTAGGTAGGACGTTTGGCTTCTCTGGGTCTCTATTTTACTCTTCTGTGAAGCCAGGTTATTGTGAAAATTAGAGGACCTGAGGTATGAAATCTGGCCCGTTGTGAGTCCTTGCCTCTGAACTTGACACATAGTAAACCCTGAATCTGAGATTTGCAAGTCATTGCTTTTGTGACTCTCCTGTTTTCCAGTTATTGAGTCAGCTCAGGCAATTGCTGGGGCTTCTCTGAGGCTCCAGCTCATATTTCAATGAGGTGGCGGTCCTTGCCTTGTGCCACTCACGCGCTTGTTGAGAGGACCAAATGAGTCACCTCTGGGAAAGTGCCCGAGAGCTGGACTGCGCTGGCTTCACGGAGCCAGGCGGGATGCTGAGGCT